TATTTCAATAAAAAATTGAAATGTTGCGTGCATGATTTTTATTGGTTAATTTCGCTTGATTTTTTGTGATACAATAAATAGCCAATGATAGGATTTTTATCTATGCTAAAATAATCAAGGTTGACTAAAAAGCCATCCTTGCATTATTTACAAGCAAAAATTCTATTTTTGCCCGGGACATTTAAAGTGGACAGTACGCGCGTCTGCATAAATTTTAGCCAATCAAATTTCCTCTAAAATTTTTCCCAGAACACGGATTAGGAAATCCCATTTATGGTATAATCCTAATGAGAAAAATTAAAAGGCGCAAAGGGTGTTAAATTTCTGATGATAGTTTCCAAATTTGTACTAGTTACACGACTAAATTTACACTATGAAGTTAATAAATGATCTGTGGTATGCATTTCAAAAAAATTCAAACTGTCGTTTGAGATTATAGGTATTGCGTTACACTTTCTTAAAAGGATTAATATTAAAAATTGAGTTCTCTTTAATTTTTAGTAACTTTTGGGGGAACTGACTATAATAATAAGGCCAATTATCATATGACTTGGACTATTATTAGAATTGGTTCAGGAGAGAAGATAATAAATAAACCCCCCTTATTATTATTTATGGAAAATGAAAATTTTTCATAAATTATTTAGTTTAAAAAGTGTAGTTTTTTTAATGTGTTAATGATTTTTATGAAATTAAATTTTAATAATTTTAAATAATAACAAATATAACGAAAATAATATTAAAAAAACTACACTTTTTTAAGCATGTGGTGTGATAATTGTCTTTTGTTTTTTCCTCTACGGACCGGTGCAATGATTCTAGGTGTAATATCAGCGGTAAATATATAAACATATAAGAGAACAAAGCTCAAAAGCATATACGCATACATACACGTACTTACATGCAAATTAATAAATATATACGTGTATGTGAAGCCCAATTAATTAATTGGTGATTTCGTTTTATGATATTTGATTTGATTAATTAAAAATTTAGCTGTATCAATGTGCCGGTGGAATATTTTTATTTAAATATGGAGGTGTGCATATTATTAATCAATCAATCAATCAATCAATCAATCAATTATATCTTCACATTCCAGCATAATAATTATTTTGGTTTTTTGTAGAATTTTTCTTTTTCCATTATCCCGAAGTATATATTTATGGCGGATATGCCATGGCACAAGCATCCATTGCGATTATAGCAGTAATTGGTTTCTCATTGGTAAATAATAATTGATCTTTTTTTTTTTTTTTGGTTTTTTACAATTAATTAAACTATTAATATTTTATAACTAGAAATCATATATAAATGGTAGAGTAATATTTAAAACATATCCAATAATACTATTGTTAGGATCAATCAGAGCTGGAGTAATGGCATGGAGTTTGCAAAAATATAAATATCGTATTGTATGGACTTGTAATAATGGTGGGGTTCAATGGTCGGATCCTGACTCACCTGATTATACACCACCGTTACTTGATTCTAAAAGATTACCTCTTGGATTTTGTAAAAGTGGTATTGATAATTTTGTTGCAATTTTCACTCTTTCCTTGTTATTGGATTTTGTAATAATGGTAAAGATCAATTAATTGTTTGATTTTGCAATTGAATTGCAAGCAATTGTTTTTATTCGCTCACCTGTTTATCCATCTATCTGTTTTATAGTGCTATTTCTACTTCTTGATATGGAGAATTAATGTCAAATTAAGATCCGGACTTTTTTATTGTGAAAATTTTGTTTAATATTAATAATATTAATATTAATATTAAATATTAAATATAAACATTAGATATGAATCATATTTTTAAAGACTATTTTTATCATCTCTAATCTTTCCTAACAACACGCAT